CCCCGAGGAGAGAAGCCTTTGGCTGGCTCATCTGCATTGCTCCCTGTGCAAAATGTCACCTTGGAGTTGCAGGGGAGGTGGGACAGTTGCTGTTCTCAGCTGCAGCAGCTGGTTTGTTGCAGTTGGTGTGTGTAAGAGTTTAGGGGTTTGACTTCCATTCCTGCCCTCGGCTGAATCACCCCCCTTCACACACCCATGTTGCAGTTACTGTATGAGTCCAGGAAGCCTTTGTGCTGCTGTTCTGGTGTGTTGCCTGTTTTGGAAGAAAGCAGCTGATTAACTCAGTCAATTAGAAAATGAGAGGGTTTCCATCAAGCTCACTTGAATATTGGCACACACAGCCTGACCTGGCTCTGCAGGGCTTAGTGATAAGTGGAAATCTGAGCTTCACTGCTCTGAGCAAAGGGAAGCAGAGATTTAAGTGTGCTCCTGTTGTACAGCAGTTCCTGAAGAGCCCCAGTGATGGAGCCTCAGGGAAGCTGGTGTATGTGCATTGCAGAAGGTGAAGCCCCTGTCCCAGGGGAGCCTCTGCTCCCAGCAGAAGTTCAGGAACAGGGGCTGCTGCTTCAGAACAAGGTGTGCCATATCCTCCTGCACTGAGGACTGCCCAGGTGTCACGTAGGCATCTTGGTTGGTTCTTGGAATCCAGCAATCCACGTTGGTGTGGGGTGTGTGCCTGGTGCTTTCCCTAGCCCCAAAGGCTGCAGGTCCCTGCAGCAGCAGGGGTGTCTGGTCCCTGGTGGCTTGTGTGGGGATGTAGTGGAGCAATGTGCCTGTGTCTGTCCCTGCTCTGGGTGTTATAGTCTCTGGGGGACCAGCTACTGCTTCTCACAAGGAACTGAAGTGATAACAATCACATATCGAATCCCTAAATCCCCAAGTACCTTTTTATTCCCCTTCTAGCTTGGATTATTTTTTTTTTTAGTGCAGTTTTCCCTCTTTAATGGGCTGCATGAGCCACTCTTGGCTGCTCAGCACTGCATTTCTTGAAACCCTGGTGAAGTTCAGTCGCAGTGCAGTGACCAGCAGGGCTGGCTGTGTTGTGGAGCTTTCCAAACCTCTCCCTCAGCCTCTAGACATGTGCTTAGGACAAGCAGAGATGGATTTGCATAACTGGTCAAGTGGAGGTTAGTGTGAAATAAAATATCTGCACGTGCTCCCCTTTGCCTCCTCTGATGCTGGGTCAAGGCTGGCTTATTTTTTCTGGGTCCTCCCATTGTCAGAACCTCTTGGGGCTCTGGGCTCTGGTCCACTTGCTGTCAGTAGTAGTTTACTTTGCTTCTCAGTGCATTTTCCAAGTTTCCAAACCTCCCCCAAGGCTATCGTATGACAGCACCCTTCTTCACGTGATGGGTCTGGTAGTGAGGGGAAAAAAACCCCACTCTCCTTTCTTGTAGTCCAAACATACAGCCTTTTCAATTATGTATGAGTGAAGTATTAAAAGGGTTTTAATCCTTAGAAGTCAGCTCGGGTGTCTTTTTTTCCCCTCCCTGCTCTCTGCCCTCCCTGCTGCTTTATCATCCTTGTAAGGTGAATTCCTGGGTGAAACAGAGGGAGAATGACAGGCCCGACCAGGGCTGTACCAAGACAGGGCTTCTGCTTCAGGTGGTTCTCCAGGCACAGCCTCTGCCAGGTGGGCTCTCTTCTGGGGAAGCACCAGTTGAGCTGATGGTGGAGAGATTTGCTATCAGAATTCCTTTCCTTGAACCTGGAGAGAGATGGTAGATGAAAGGAGGGTGGTGGTAACTGTGGAAAATAGCTTTACCCTTCCACTCCTCCCCTGTGAATGTGAAATACTTCCTTTGGCCTGGAGTTTAGCTAAAGGTTACATTTCAAGTGTTTGTTGAGCTGAAAGTGGTTACACTGGTAGCTTGAAAGAAATAAAAGCAGTGAGTGGAGACTGCAAGATAGGAAACAAAGTGGCAGAGGGGTTGTAACTTATTTATTGCAGCCTTGAGAGCAGGAAGTATTGCAGAGGATGAAATTCCTATACTGTTTATATAAGGCTGTAAGAAATTGATTACAGCTCAGATAGGTTTTGTTGCACGCTGCTGGGAGGGATCTCAGAAGTAATGCAATGAAGTTCTGAACATAGTTTTACTGCCCCTCTGTTTGAATGCCTCATTTGCCACAGTGAAAACCTTTCATTTGTTCTTCTTGCCATCTCAAGTGGTGTTCATTTCCAATTTCTGTGCAGTGCTGCCTGCAGGATTCAGGTGTTTCAGGCTGCAGTCCTTCAGGGATGAATAATTTATTCTCAGTCCTTTAAAACTAAAAAAGAGCTCCGAATTTTGCTAGGTCTGTTTTCCCT